AACAAAATATTCCAAGACAAACATTCCTAATGCATATGGGATGAACAGCTGCACAAGGATCTCCTTTATTCACTTTAAATAATGAGGGATCAAAGCCAATTTAATCAAATCCATTCTTAATAAGAGGAGAAGCATCCCTACTTCTCTCCTTCGGATAGGATGTTTTGGTTAAGTTTTCTAACGAGTAAGATATTTATTCTTCTTCTATTTACTTAGCCTGGATACCTAGGATTCCCTCCAGAATATTGTCCAGCCTAGGGACAACCAGGGAGCATCAAAGATTTTGATGCATTTAGCTAAAAAAGAATGCTAGCTAATAAATAACCCCTGCATCCCAAGGGTTTTTCCTTTGTCTAGCCATCCAGCTATTTCTATCTAATGAGGTCAGAGAACAAAGAACAATGGGAAATTTCCTTCCTCAAGGCAAACCTGCCTCCGTCTTCCAGTCCCTGTACCTTAATAAAAATTAACATTTATACAGTCCTACTAGGTGCCAGACATGCTTCTGAGTGCTTCATATACATTCATTCATTCAATCCTCGTAACCAGCCTGTGAGGTAGAGAACATAGTATCTCCATTTTACAGATAAGGAAACTGAGCTACATAGAGGTTAAATAAATTGCCCAAAGCCACACAAGGAGTAAGTAGTAGAGCCCGGATTCTAATCTAGACAGTTTGATGCTGGAATCTATATCTTTAACCATACAGTTTTTATTCAGAATAAGCACTTACAGAATAGGCATCTCCTTGAAGGAAATGATGTTCTGGATATTAAATTATGCATGAAATATTCTAATTGTATAAATCTCCTAGCTTGGATCGTTCAAAATCTCTATATTATTTACAGAGAAGAGACTATACCCAGTCTACAAGCACCAGTTTCACCTCAGTTTAGCCACAAACTACAATACCTCTGTTACCTCTGCTCCCATAAGTAAAGACTCTCCATATCGACATCTCTTAAGCCACAATAACTTGGTTCTCACCTTTCCAGGCATGAGTGGGGCAAAGCTGCAAGTCCTTTGCACATTTTGGCAGGTGGCTTAGCTCCTCCGCTTTAAGTACAACTTCTTAACAGCAGAACCGGTCTTTGAAAACTTCAAAACTGTCTGGGATGCCTTTCCTTCTGAGGCATATATAGAAGCTCTTTCCCAGCCCTCTGTTGCTCTTCCAGCCAATCCAGAGCCTTAGAGGAAACTGCAGGCTGGAGAGCAGCAGCAGTGGGGCATGAGGTGGAGGAGGGAATCCTTTCTCTGCTGCAGGCACTGCTGTGGCATAAGGCTTTCATCTGCTCTTATCCCAACACCCTCTTGCTGATCGGACAGGGCAGGGTTAGATCCTAAACTGTGCACAGGCCATTTATTGTTTGAACTAATAATCTCAGGCCAATGACAGGGAAGAGGTGAGCTTTCTCATGAGGTAAAGTGCCTTGGACCACTTCAGATTGGTGAAAGTCATAGATTACTAGGACTATAAGGGCTCCTGGAGATTGTTTAGCCCAACTTTGTTTCACAGTAAAAGAAATTGAGATCTAGGGAATTCAAGGAATGCGTATGTGAGTACTTACCATATGCCAGACACTCAGCTGGATGCCAGGTATTCAGAGAAGAAAGAGAAAGCTCCCTCCCCTTAAGACCCCAAAACACGTTATAAGTGAGTGATGGAGGCCGGTCTGGGATGTTGTGAGCCTTCGGGGGGCACCAGGTGAGGTTTTATGGAGCTGAGAGACAAGATTACTGTTTATATAAATCAAAACAAATATGAATAATTACTATATGTACTATATGTTCTTTATGAATCCATATGTCTGTGAAGTACTAAAAAAGTGATCTGGGAGACCATACGCCAAAATCTGCATAGGAATTGAGTGTAATGATAAGTACCCCTGAACTCTGTTAATTCTGTAAGTGGTCTTCTGATTATTCTTTATTTGGATGACTAATGCTTCGTAAGTCTTTAGACCTCCCCACCCTAGCCATCCTTGCCTAGGCTTGTCTTCCCTTCCCCTTCAAACTTTTCCTGCCTCCTATCACTCAAGGAATATTTACCTGAATATTTACCAAAATTTACGTGAATTATGTCTTGTCCTGTCAGGGCCCGGGGTGCTCACAAATTAATCTGTAAATGTAACTACATAAAAGGTAGGCGTGAGTTCAAGCTAAAAACAAGTGTCACTGCATAATTTGTAAGAGAAGCTCTGAATTTTGAATTAAATATTATTCTCATAATTTTCTCCATTATTTGAAATTAGTTGTTTTAAATGACTCCCTTTTTACCCTTTTACCTACCCTTTTCAGACGATGGTTGATCAACACCTGTTAGTGGCTTGTAAAGGCAATGCAGTGTATTATGACTTGGTGTTTTTAATGAAATAAATAGAACAGATAAATATCCAAGTACATTGCATATAGAAAGTACTGTTTTTTGAAATTTTGACTTTAATGATCAATATGTAAGTATACACAGGGTCATTAAGTATACTATTTTTTTTTTACTATGGATCATAATCAAAAAAGATTGAAAGCCGTAACTTTAAATCACACACACACACAACCACATGTTTTCGAGGTAGAGTCTAGCTCTGTTACCCAGATAAGAGACTGGAGGGCAGTGGCATGATCATAGTCACTGCATCATCAGACTCCTGGGCACAAGTGATCCTCCCACCTCAGCCTCCTAAGTAGCAGATACTAAATGCTCAGGCTACCGTGCCTAGTTAGTTTTCAAATTTTTTGTATAGACAGGGTCTAGTTTGTCCAGGTTGGTATTGAACTCTTTGCTTCAAGCAATCCTCCTGCCTCAGCCTTCCAAAGCACTGGAATTATAGGTGTGAGCCACCATGCCCAGCCATATATATATGAAATCCTGATACAGTCACATTTGTACCTCCAGCATTAAGCATAATGTCAGGCACATAGACATCTGTAAATACTGAATGAGTTAAACACAACTGTCCAAGTTCTGCCATCTACTGACTGAGTAAACGTTAGCAAATCAATTAATTACCATTTTTGAGAGATGTGGACACTGTTGTTGACTATTAAATCTAATAATGGAAATATAAAACCTGTAGAAGAGACTCCTTGGGACAAGAGTCTAAATCACTATTTGATACCAAGGGGCCTTGAGGAGATTATAATATAGAAAAGAAAAACCCCAAGAATGATGTAGTGCAATGGAGGGTAATGTCTTGGCAAGGGCTAAAAATCAAAGCATATTTCTGACTGCCCCGGAGGAGTTCATGTGATGGACTATCCAAGAATAGAAATTATCTCAATTTACTAAAAGATGGACTAGAACCCAAAATGTAAAATTCAATAGAAATAATACTAAATCCAACACCTGTTTGTCTTTAAAACTTTGTAAGGATGGCACAGCCAGAGAGCATGTAAAAGAGTGTGCTCTAGAAGCAGAAAGTAAAACAGTGATTGCTAGAGGTTAGAAATGGAGGAGTTGCTATTCAATAAAGTTTCAATAGGTATAAAGTTTCAGTTATGCAAAACGAAAAATTTCTAGGGATCTGTGGTACAACATTGCACCCATAGTTAGCAATACTGTACTGTACACTTAAAAAATCTGTGAAGAGGATAGAGTTTCTGTTATGTGATTTTTTTATCACAGTAAAAAAAAGGAGAGAATATACTATTTAAAATAAATTTGAAGTCTTTAAAAAAAATTGAACTATTTTGAAATTTCCTTTTCCTCCTGAGAATCTCTCAAAAATGACAGTAAATATATGAAAAAGGTATAAATCTATAATGGCAAAGAAAAAGAGAAACAAGCCATCATATGCTGTGTGATTTCAACCACCTCTTCATGGAATGTGAAAAGGAGTCATTAGGAGTGGTACCTAATGAAACAGGGGAGGAAATTCAGGGGATGCTTCAAAGAGATGTCCACCTGCCCTGGAGGATGCCACAGGGGTTTGGGCTCCAAAGTTCTAGATACTACAGTTCTACAGAAGGCAGAAGTTAGCCGTACGAGTGGAGGTAGTGAGACACTGAACATTTTCATCACATGAAAGGGTCTTCTGCCCACACACTGCTCTGATTCATTTCTAATTCATTTCCTTTAGAATGTGTGTCTTTAACTATGATTGGCAATGTATTTATTGTGATACATTTTATAACTTCCAATGTGGGGACCTCTGGGACTATGTGATCGATTGTGAACAAGCATCTACTCACTAACTAATGTCCCTAATAGCAGTAAGAGTCTCATCCTAAAGCCACCTAGGAGCACATGGAGTAAACAGAGGCCAGGTCTTCACCTTCATGTTGCTTGATTTCTCTTTCTTTCTGATAAATGTTTTAAAGAACATGCAAGCTCAATTTATAATTCTACCACCCAGAAATATATACTGTCAATAGGTTGTGATATTGCTTCCATGGCTTTTTTTATTTAAAGAAATAAAGCAGCAACAGTTAAAATTAAAATCCCTGGACTTTATATTAAATATAGTTCTGCTGAATGTGCTGGCACCTTGATCTTGAATTTCCCAGCTTCCAGAATTGTGAGAAATAAATTTCTATTGTTTATAGAGCACCCAGTTTCAGGTATTTTGTTATAGTAGCAGAAACTAAGATAATATAGAGTCATTAAAAGTATATAATGTTGCCTTTTTATTTCTTAAAAAAAAAGACTCCCATGTCCATTGTTTTTCCACTTTCAGCACACTCAGTACCTGTTAGGATTTTGGTGTCTGGTCTTAGAGATCATTTTTTTAAATGTCCTCATGTTCATATGTGCTATAGTCTGACTGTTTTCCTCAAAATTCATATGGTGAAACTTAATAATCAACGTTATAATATTAAGTTGTGGGGCTGTTGGGAGGTGATTAAGCCATGAGGTTGAAGCTCTCATGGATGAGATTGGAGCCATTATAAAAGGACTTCAGGGAGGGAGTTCATTTCCTTCTGCTTTTCTGCCATATTAGGAGACAGCAACAAGGCACCATCTTGGAGAAGCAGAGAGCAGCTCTCATCAGACACTGAACCTGCTGGGACCTTGATCATGAACTTCCTAGCTTTCAGAACTGTGAGTAATAAATTTCTATTGTTTATAAAGCATTGAGTCTCAGGTATTTTGTTATAACAGCACAAATAAGATAATTTGGATTCATAAAAAGTATATAGTAATTATTTGTATGTGTTTTGATTATGAATATAATCCACGTCTTTTTCCATTTAAGATTATAATTTTTTTGGTTTTTGTTTTTAGATTGTAATGACAACTAACATTATAGAATATTTTCTATGTATCCATCACTTTATCAAACACTTCATATATTTACACATTTAATTCCCGCAATGAAAGCATGAGATAAGTGATATTAATTTTGCTATTTCAAAAAGAAAATCCTATGATCATATAAATGAAAATAAAATTGTTTAGGATTAAAAAGCATCAGTACTAACATAGAAAGTGTAAAGTCTATACCTCTAGTTTATGCTTGTTAATTGCTGGAGATAATTCTATCATATACAAATATAATTGCATTTCTTTACAGATCCGTTGTTAAATATTTAGGTCATTTCTAATTGTTTGTTTCTGGAAAAAGTACTTAAATTAATATTACTATATCTGTCTCCTGGAGCAGTTTATCTAAAATGTAGTTCATGTAGTGGAATGACTGTTGAGAGGTGTAACACTATAACATTATCACGTGGTCAGACCAGTTGAGACTCCTAACAGAAACGTATGAGAGCCTCATTTTCCCCAGTATACGTCACTTGCCAAGCTTCAATTTCTTCCAGTGACAGGCAAAAAATACCATGTCGTTTTCATTTGTACCTTTCTAATTACTAGGGAATTTGAGCTTCTATTCATATAAATATGGCCATTGTAATTTTTCTTCCATTAATTGTGTATTCCCATTTTTTAAACAATCTTACTATTTGGCTTTTTAATATTGTGTTCAAAAATTCTTTATAAAAACAATGAAACTGAAAATGGGAGAAAGGAGAAAAGAAAAGTGGAATTAGATCATTGTTGTAGGAGTGGCTAAAGGATACCAATAAAGTCATATAAACCAGATAACAGGTTAAATAAGAAAACAGGAGATGAAAAGCATGAAGTAAAGTATATGACAAAGGTAACCATTAGAACAGAAATATAAATCCTCCTAAATACCAAAAAAAAGAGAAAGATTAAAGAACAAAGAATAAACAGTTCATAGAGAATGAAATATAGAAAATAACAAGGAAAAATGCATAATTATACAACCTTGTGTGACAGAATTTTGAAATCAAACATATAAGTTATATCAATAAATGTAGATATGCATCAATTTTTCATTAAAAGAAAAGTTTTAGTTAGGCTTACAAATAAAACCCAACCTGGGTAACAAAGTGAGACCCCATATCTATGAAAACAATTTTTAGGAAAGTTAGCCAGGCATGGTGATACATGCCTGTAGTCACAGCTATTCAGTAGGCTGAGGCAGGAGGACTACGTGAGCCCAGGAGTTCAAGGCTGCAGGCAGCTATGATAGTGTACCCTCTGACCTTGGGCAACGGAGCAAGATCCCATCTCCATTTATAAAAAAAAAAAAAAAGTAAGAAGACCCAACTATATTCTGTATACAAAGGCCATACTTAAAGTTATTTAGAAAGATTTAAAATAAAGAAAGGGCAAGGGTAAAATCGACTTAAACAACAAGAAAGCAAGAGAAATAAGCCTGAAAGAAGATAAATCCAAGCCAAAATGTATTGAACATTACAAAAGCAAATACTTTTTCAGGCTTAAAAGCCACAACTTAAAATGGGAAGTATTAAATATAAATATTTCTGCACAAATAATACAGCAACTGCCTTTCCAGTACATAGAGACACTCTAATAATCAGAAACTGACATGACTTATTTTTAGTACAAGAAAGAGGACAAAAAATAAGTATTATGGTCAAAACCACACACACGTGTGTGCATACACACACACACACACACACACACACACACACACACACACACAAAGTTCTTATGGTTATATATCAAACACCACACCCTGCTAATAGAGAATCTCTTCTCAAATACCTATGAAATATTCACAGAAAATTAGGGTATAACAATTCAAAAAGAAAATTAGTCAGTCCAATTAAGTAGAAATGTTACAGACAATGTTCTATGATTGCAATGAAATAAAATTAAATGTGATTAACAAAACCAAAAAGGCTCTTCCTCCTGGAAATTCAAAAACTTTCTATTAAACAATGAGTGAAAAGAAGAAATACAAATTGAAATTACAGAATATCTTTATCTTACAGTAAATTTCCACCTATACTTAAGTCTGTTTCTGAACTATTCTTTTCCACCAGTATATCTGTCTATTTATATACCAGTAGAAAACTGTTTTAATTACGTAAGATTGGTAGTATGTTTAATGTCTAGGTATTAATGTATGTTCATTCTTTTCAAGTTGAACCTTAGTATCAAGTTATTTTATGCCCTAAAAAAAGCTTGTTGAAATTTTTATTAGGATTGTGTTACATTTATAAATGAATTTAGGGAGAACTGACATCTTTATAATATTGAGTCATCCTCTCCAAGGACAGGAATGTCTTACTATTTGTTTGACTCTACTGTATATCTGCCAAGAGTGTTTTATAATTTTCCTTTTGTTGATTTTATACATTTCTTGTTAAGATTATCTCTAAGTATTTAATCTTCTTCCCTTCTATTATAAATGGGATTTTCTCTACCATATGTCCTCTAATTAATTTCTTATTAATTGTATATTATGATACCTTACTGAATTATATTATTGTTCAAGTTAGTTTTATTGTCGATTCCCTAGAGTATTTGAAGCCTGCTGTCATGACTTCTGCAAAAAGAGATGATGGCTTTTTTTTTTCTTTACCAAACTGTATGCCTCTAATTGAGTTTCCTCGATTATATTATCTACTATCTGTAATACAATATCGAGAAAGGAATGTTTTTACCTTATTCCTTTTGTCCTTATTAGTGGACATTTCCTAGTGTTTCCTCATTAAATATGATATTGATTTTAAGATTACAACTGTAATTTTCTTTTTCTTTTCTTTTTTTGTGTGTCTTTTTTTTTTTCCTTTTTTTATCAACCAGGCTAGAGTACAGTGATACAATCTCAACTCACTACAATTTCTGCCTGTCAGGCTCAAGTCATACTCCCACCTCAACCTCCCAGGTAACTGGGACTACAGGTATGCACCACCATGCCCAATTTTCTTTTATTTATTTATTTATTTATTGGAGTAGAGACAGGGTTTCACCATGTTGCCCATGCTGGTCTCAAACTCCTGGGCTCAAGCAATCCACCTACCTTGTCCTCCCAAAATGCTGGGCTTACAGGCATTAGCCACCCACCATGCCAAGCTGTATGCCTTTATTCTTATTAAAAAATTATCAATTATTTTTGAATTAAACATTTTTTTTTGAGACAGAGTCTTGCTTTGTTGCCAGGTGCCAGGCTAGAGTGCAGTGGTGCAATCTCAGCTTACTGCAACCTCCGCCTCCTGGGTTCAAATAATTCTCCTGCCTCAGCCTCTTGAGTAGCTGGGACTACAAGCGCATGCCATCATGCTCAGCTAATTTTTGTATTTTTAGTAGAGAAGGGGTTTCACCATGTTGGCCAGAATGGTCTCTTATCTCTTGACCTCGTGATCCGCCCACCTCGACCTCCCAAAGTGCTGGGATTACAGGTGTGAGCCACTGTGCCTGGCCCTGAATTAAACATTTTAATGACTATACATTTTACTTCTAAGATTTCCATTTGATTCTTTTGAGTAACTATTCTTGTTCTAGTTTTGTGGATATAATAGCCATGCTTAACTGCCCTGAAATATTTTTGAACACTTTTAAAGGATTCCAGTGACTTTATAGGAGGCAATATAGTACAGTGGTTAAGAGTATGGACTGAAGAAAGAGAGTGTCTCAATTCACACTGTAGTTCTATCACTTTCTAACTGACACTGGGCAAATTACTTAAAATTTGAGTACCTTGGTGTTTTCTATAAAGTGAAGTTAAAGGAAACAGTGCTTAAAAGCATTTATAACAGTAGTGCCTTACACACAGTCAACACTCAATGAAGATTTGCTATTGAAATTATCCGTCTTGTTTTCTAAATTTTTTTCCCCATGACCCTCAATTTACTCATGGCTTTTAATTTCTGCCTAGGATTTAGTCTTTCATGGAATTACCTCCTGTAAGTTTTTTCCCAAGGCAGACTGCATGAGACTGTGGTTGGCTATAGTCTACATTGGCTATGCCTGGCTCTACTGTATACACTGGGTTTTTAAAGCTGGTCTTATGTTGGTGTCTTGATGGGAATCTGGAGAATGGAGTGGTGGAATACATATGGAACACCCAAGCTAAGAGCATTTAGGAATCATGAATTAAGCCAGGAGTAAACAACAATGAGATGGGTACTGTTTGATTCAGGTTTATCTAAGCTAGCTGACTGAAAAAAATATCTTGAAGATAATGATGTCAGAAAAGTTGTGGGTACAGAACTCCATTTGTAAGAAATTTGCTAGTGAACGGGAGTTGAGGTAGATAAAGCAATGAATTAAGTTTTTTTTTTTTTTTTTTTTTTTTTTTTTTTTTTTTTTTTTTCCAGGAGGTTAAGGGCGATTGGAAGGAGAGAAATGATAAGTTAACTTAAGGAACCGTAAGTTTAATTATTTCTAATACGAGAATGTGATGTGAGCAGAGTGCCTGGAGAGGGAAAGCTGAGGTTTGCAAATGTGTAGGTCCGTTCTGAGACAAAGGGAAAATAAAATGAATAAAATGATGATTCTAAGAAAACTTATTAAGGGAACAAAAGGTGAGTGGGCTGGGGGATTCTTTGCTAACTCCAATCTTCTTAGTCGAGGTGGTGGTAAAGGCATAGAAGTTTTAGAAGGATTCTCACTAGCTTTTTTTGCTTGGTTTATGAACCAATTGTGACTGGAACGTTATTAAATGTTTTGATAGAATTTTCCCTGGGGGGCGGCCTCACTATCTAAATGCCACACAACTATTGAATAAGATGATTCTAATGGCAATCCCAGGAATCTCTCAC